GCTGAACGGTATCCTTTAAGAAGAGGAAAAGGAAGAAAAAGGTAAAGATACAAATTATGAACAACAAATATGCATCTATCAACAAGTGAATCTAAGAATCAAGTGAGTAAATAATCTGATGAACAGAATGAACTGTTGATTATAATAGAATCAGGGACATAGAAAGGGAATGGACTGACTATTCCTGGGGGGGAAAGGGGTGTGGGAGATTCGGGAAGAGACTGGACAAAAATCGTGCACCTATGGATGAGGACAGTGGGTGGGGAGTGAGGGCGGAGGGTGGGGCGGGAACTGGGAGGAGGGGAGTTATGGGGGGAAAAAAAAGAGGAACAAATGTAATAATCTGAACAATAAAGATTTAATTTAAAAAAAAAAGATTATCTACACTAATAAAAGAGAAAGATGCAAATTGACCATACCTTTGTGATGCCCACCAGCCAATCAGGAGTGAGTATGCAAATTAACCCAACAAATATGCTGGGTTATTTTGCATACGCAGGTGCCAAGTGGCGGGGGGCGGGGTAGGATGCTTGTATCGTCGCCATGGCAATGATGCAGGCATTCTGCACCGCCCCAGCCGCTCTGGGCCTCTGGGCAGCATGGGAAGGCAGAAAGGTGGCTCTGGGTTGGAGCGAAGGTGGTGCCGGCAGCAAGGGAAAGGAAGGCCCATTCTTGCACAGATCTATATGGAGAGAGAGGGGAGAGTGAGGGAAAGAGAGAGAGAATGAGAAAGAGAGAGAGAAAGAGAAAGAGAGAGAGAAAGAAGGAGAGTGAGAGAAAAAGAGAGAGAGAGGAGAGACAAAGAAAAGGAGAGAGAGAAAAGGAGAGAGAAGGAGAAAGAAAGCTCAATCTCTGATGACTCTTCTTATAAGACTCCACTCTTAGTACCTCATTTAACTTTAATTACTCAGAGGCCCATCTCCAACAACACTGGAAGTTAGGTGATCAACATATTAATTTTGGGAAAACACAATCATTTTTTGAGAATGAATAGGGCCACTTCATCTGGAGCTCAATACCAGCAAAATTCTTGCATTACACACTTAATGGAAATTCTCTGGAAGATTTATCTAGAAGCTTTATACAAAGTTAACAATTTATATATTTTATGTTTATATTCTTATTTGATTATGAGTTTAGGAGAAGAACACTAGTCTCAGGCTTTTATAGTATTAACCAGTATAGCTAGGTTGAATTGCAATTATAAATGAACTTGAGCATCTTAGAGGTTAAACACAAACAAGTTTATTCCTCATGTAGGCAAACTCCATGTAAATCAGGCAGCCCTTCTCCATCTTGTAGCTCTGCCATCTGGCACAAGTGACTTCCAAGCTGGCACTGTAGGGCAAGTTTATCAGTATTTTACAAGGTTAGGCCTGGAGGTGGCTTACATCTTCAGCACAGGACATTCCATTGCCCAGAACTTAGTCACATGGCCATGGCCCAGTTATAAGGGAGTAAGAGGGCTGTAATTTACCATAGGTGGATAGAAAAAAATGTGGTGAACATATAAAATTGTATTAGCTATGGCTTCCTAAACCATTGACCAGGAGATTCAGGCAAAGATGAGATCTGGTGCTTATGAGTAATTTGGCTTAACCTGTATATAGTTCTTAGAAGAGTTTGTATGTCATAGAAGTTGCCTCATATCTGTGTCCAAATATCTGTGTAACTTCCAGCTTCATTATGAATGATGACAAATATAAAAGGTAAATAAATGCTACCAATGCAGTTTTAAGTTACTGCTTCCTGCATTCAATAATTGCTTAAAGTTTTTTTTTAAAGAGAACCTATAATAATGAACACGTGGCCTGTATGTTAAAAAGATCATGTGTTCAATGGTTCTCATATTAGCCAGTGAGAACCATTGACAAATCACCAACTATTTCTTATATAGACTGCTTACATACATGGAAATATTAACAAATGTTACTCTTTTTTTGTCAACATATTTTTTATCAGATAACAAAATGTAACTTCAACATGAATTTTTAGTGTCTCCCCATGTATCCTCTTGAAAAGCTGCATCTTCTGACTAAGAAGAGGGGGCATAATGGAGCCTGCAGTCAGAATTGAGTTGAAGAAACAAAGAATTGTGATCTGCAGGGCCCAGAAAAGCCAAGTAGTTTATGTTTTATTATTATTATCATTTTCAAAATTTTAGAGTTGAGATGCAAGTCCCAAGGAGGTAAAGTGACCTTTCTATATTTTCATGAAATTTTTGCATTTTATTTGAGGATATGTTCTAGTGGGTGGTCATCTGCAGACAGATTTTTATTTCTATGTTTAATCCAATGACTCATAAATCTTTATCTCCAGTCCAGACCTCTTTTCTTAGTTCCAAACCTGCATATCTAATGATCTCCTCAAAAACTGCATTAGAATTCTTACTTACATCCCATGTCAGGGCACATGCTTGGGTTGCAGGCTTTATTCCAGTAGGGGGTGTGCAGGAGGCAGCCGATCAATGATTCTCTCTCATCATTGATATTTCTATCTCTCTCCCCTTCTCCTTTCCTCTCTCTGATATCAATTGAAGAAGAAGAAGAAGAAGAAGAAGAAGAAGAAGAAGAAGAAGAAGAAGAAGAAGAAGAAGAAGAAGAAGAAGAAGAAGAAGAAGAAGAAGGTGGAGGAGGAGGAGGAGGAGAACAACAACAGCAAAAACCCAGACAGGAGAAAATAACCTTACGCCAGAGCTGGAGAGGAAATGAAAAATGGAGTAGGATGCCCAAGGTTGAGGCAAGTAGCAGATTTTCTTGGTTCCAGTCAGCCATTAGTAGGAGGTTGTCTGTTGGTGAAAGAAGGAAGTCAGACTAGAGATACTGAAGGATAGGTTTGCTGGGAACAAAGCAAAAGAAGAAACATCTGCAAATGACATGCTGCTTTTGCAACTTGCATCGTTAGCCTTTTCTCCTGCAGTGACAGTCCTGATGGGGAGACATCTGTCAGGGGCCCAGGTGGTGACATTCTCAAAGATGGACCTGGATTCTGAGGATACCAGTGCTTCCTGTCTGAGCATTCTTATCTGCAGGCAGTTCTGGGGAATGGTGGGGGAGCATGGGGGCTGTGTTTCAGGAAAATACATGTTTAAACTGGTCATAACATTTTTCTCTCGCTCTGGGAACTGGTTTATTTTCCACTTTCTCTCCTCCCTACATTTTTTTTTCCCCCGAAAGCATCTGAACGTTTACCACCCACAGTGGTCCAGTAATATATCTGGTTCCATCTCATTCTGACCTCATCATTTGTCAGCCAATCCTAAGCACAATATCACAGTTGACGTTAGCTGGATGAGTCACAAACTCATGGCTGGGACAGTAAAAACGCCACAGTAATTTCCCGCACACATGGTCCAAAGATAACTTCATCAACAAGGAGTTGATAGACCGGGGGCTGTTACTTTATGTCTACTTCATTGAATTAACTCAGGCGAGTCAAAATATCTAGTCCAGTGGTCGGCAAACTCATTAGTCAACAGGGCCAAATATCAACAGTGCAACGATTGAAATTTCTTTTGAGAGCCAAATGTTTTAAACTTAAACTATATAGGTAGGTACATTGTTATTAACTTCATTAGGGTCCTCCTAAGGCTTAGGAAGAGCCACACTCAAGGGACCAAAGAGCCGCATGTGGCTCCCGAGCCGCAGGTAGCCGACCACAATCAATCGCTGTTTGAATGCAACTTCATTGTACTCAGTGAAGGAATTCTTCAAAAGGTTCTATTCCTGGGAACCATCCTCACTTTCTTCCTAGGTCTTCTCGCATTACTCCTATCCCGCCATAAAGTTCTTTGTGCATCAGCTTCTTGGGGGCTAGTCCAGATGTTGACGCCTCAGGTTTTCTTCTGGTGTGTGTGTGTGTGTGTGTGTGTGTGTGTGTGTGCGTGCGCTTTTAAAAACGTCGTTCCCCAAGATTTCTACCTTCTATGGCCTAAAACCCAGAGGGACACAATTGTCCCACCGTGTGCTCACTCCCTTTAGATCTGATGTCTCCCTCCACTCAGTTCCTTCGGAGGTCCATAGCCCAACAACCATGATGACCCATTTCATGCACCCTGGGAATACAGGCAAAGAAATCCAAAACACTAATTTGAAAGTATGTATGCACCTCTATGTTCATTGCAGCATTATTCACAATAACCTAGATTTGGAAGCAGTACAAGTGCCCATCAGTAGATGAGTGGATAAAAAAGCTGTGGTACATTTACACAATGTAGTACTACTCGGCCATAAAAAAGAAGGAAATCTTACCTTCTGCAACAGCCTGGATGGATCTGGAGAGTATTCTGCTAAGTGAAATGAACCAGTCAGAGGAAGACAAGTAACATCTGATTTCACTTACATGTGAATCTAATGAACCACAACCAAAAGTTAGAAACAAACTCATAGGTAAAAAGAATAGACGGAAAGCTATCAGCGAGGAGGAGGTTAGGTGGGCTGAGTGAAAAGGTGAAGGGATTACGGAAAAAACAAACTAACAGGCAAAAAAGAAGTTGTTTTTGACTTAGCCCAAAGCTGCATGTAGCATAACTTCCAAAGTTCTGCTTGTCTCATAATAATTTGTTACTCAAACTTTCACAGGTCAGAAGTTACTGTAAAGAAGGTCATATGCCAGTAGCCAATGTAGTTTTTCTTTTAAAAAATCCCTATGGTATAAGATAATTTTGCTTGTATGATAAGCTACAGTACTTATCTTATTTGATTTTGGAAGTTGGGTCTGCAGTACTATAGTCCGAACAAATGTTTTATTTTATTTTTATTATTACTATTTTTAATTCTCACCTGAAGATATGTTTTCTTATTGACTTTAGAGAGAGAGGAAGACAGAGAAACATTAATGTGGGAAAGAAACACCACTCAGTTGCCTCCCATACTTGCCCCGACAGGGGATCAAACCTGCTACTTAGGTATGCCCCCTGACCAGGAATCAAACCCGCAACCTTTTGGTGTATGGGAAGATGCTCCAATCAACTGAGCCACCCAGCCAGGGCCGGGAAATTGTTTTAAATGCTTTGTCTTTTGTAAATTACTGACCACACACACACACACACACACACACACACACGAATATGGCTTTAGGAAGATCAGAAAAGGGGATGAGATTTACAAAAAAGGAGCCATTGAGAATGTTGGGATAGAGCGCCAGAGAAGAGAGGCCCATGAGGAGGAAGGCAGAGTTGGGTGGATAAATCAAAAGAATATTCCTAGGTTAAAGCAGACAGTTGTTTAACATTACCTTCTGATTTAACCGATGTTACAAGAAAGGATTGAAGAGGTAAAAAAAATTAAATAACTTTCCAAAAGCCTCTGGGGGCTTTGCCAAGATAGCACGAGAAAGCAGGGGTGAGGGACAACTGCTGGAAGCCAAGGAGACAAGAAGACAACCTGGAAGTCAGGGCTGGAGTGGAAATGAGAGCAGAGTGGGAGGGCCAGGCGGTGGCAGGCACAGCTTTTCTCTGGTGCGCGATGTGGATGAGGCAGAGGTTTGGCAGTTGGAAGAGAGAGGAAGTCACTGTAGAGTGCTGAGAAAAAGGTTTGCTGGGTTCAGAGATCAAACGCCAGCTTTCAGAGTCAGTTCTGTCTCCCAGGGAAATGCTGCTTTTGCCACTTCTGTTGCTTGCGGTTCTCATCCCAGGTGGTGACAATGAGCCAGGTAAGAACAGCTCTGGCCTGTCTCGGTGTGGGGGTCGGGGTCTGGGTAAAAGCATGCTGTCCATGTCCATATATTGTACGTGTCTGGGCCATGTGTCCCCAGCCTTTCCTTCCATTCTGGGGTTGGGGATGGAGCCCGAGGCCCTGGCACAAGCAAATGTCTCAGGCATTTTGTTGTTCAGACTCTGGGTTCTTTTTCTCTGGACCTTTCTAGTTTTCATTTCCCCCCGACCACCCCCACCCCGGCCATTTCCTCCTGGTTTCCTCTTTTTTTCTTCACTTTTCTTATCCTTTTACTACCCACAGCTTTCCAGGGGCCAACCACTTTCCACCTCAACCAGATATCGTCCTTTGCCAACAGCACCTGGGCACAAAACCAGGGCTCCGGCTGGCTGGGCGATTTGCAGATTCATGGCTGGGACAGCGAGTCGGGTACTGCCATTTTCCTGAAGCCTTGGTCCAAGGGCAACTTGAGTGACGAGGAGGTGACTGAGCTGGTGGAGATCTTCCGAGTCTATTTGATCGGATTCCTCCGGGTCATACAGGATCACGTCAGTGAATTCCAGCTGACATGTGAGTGCCGTCCTCTGGAGAGATTATCAGTGATTTCTCTCTCTCTCTTGTTTAGGCACCACACCCCTGGGTCTTTCTCTCCTTCTCCCCAGTTTATCCAACTTCTCTAGACTTGTCTTCCACTGGACTCCATATCTCCACAAACTATTGCAGCTCCTTCCTGTTTCCCGCACCCTTGTCTGATAACGATCCCCCTTTGGAACCATCATCTGGTATGTTTTTGTTTAACTTTTGTTCACTTGAACCCCACGCAAGAAGCCCTCATCTTGTCTACTCTGTGCCTGAGAACACTAACGTGTGAGTTCCTTCTTTCTTCAATCCATCCCCTCAAGCATTTCCTTCCTGCCGGATCCCTCCTCTCAGTGTAATGCTCCCATTCCTTCTGGAACGTTGTGCCCTGACTTCACCACCCTGTTCCTCACAGTTCCCCTGTCTCCTCTCCCCTCCCTCCCGTATGTCATTACAACATCCCTTCTCCACTGTTTGTGACATGTGTACTTCTCCCCTATGCTCTTCCTTCTGAATAGTCTATGAATACAGTCAGACTCCACTTAATAACAGGGATAGGTTCTGAGAAATGTGTTAGGTCAGTGGTCGGCAAACTCATTAGTCAACAGAGCCAAATATCAACAGTACAACGATTGAAATTTCTTTTGAGAGCCAAATGTTTTAAACTTAAACTATATAGGTAGGTACATTGTTATTAACTTAACTAGAGGCCCAGTGCACAAAAATTTGTGCATGCGGGAGGAAGGGAGGGTCCCTCAGCCCGGCCTGTGCCCTCTCGCAGTCTGGGACCCCTCGGGAGATAACGACCTGCTGGCTTAGGCCTGCTCCCGGGTGGCAGAGGGCAGGCCCAATCCCTAGGTGCAGCTCCTGGTTGGGCTCAGACCAGGGCCAACTGGGGAGTTGGGGCGATGCCCCTGTCATGCACAGAGCAGGGCGGATCAGGAGGTTGCGATGCCACCCTCAGTCACGCTCAGGGTAGGGCCGATTGGGGGGTTGGGGCACCGCCCCCTGTCACACTCAAGGCAGGGTCGATGGGCAGGTTGCGGCACCACCCCCTGTCATGCACAGAGCAGGGCCCATCAGGGGGTTGGGGCGCCGCCACTGTCACACTCAGGGCAGGGCCGATGGGGAGGTTATGGCTCTACCCCGTCACACACAGAGCAGGGCCCGTGGGGGGGGGAGGGGGCGTTGGGGTGCTGCACCCTGTCACACACAGAGCCGCAGGGTGATCAGGGGGTTGGGGAGCTCCCCCCTATCAGGCACAGAGCAGGGCTGATCAGGGGGTTGGGGTGCCTTCCCCTGTCACGAACAGAGCAGGGCCGATAGGGAGGTTGTGGCCCCACCCCCTGTCACACACAGAGCCGCAGGGCGATCAGGGGGTTTGGGCGCTGACCCCTGTCACGCTGTTCCCAGTGCCGGGGGGCCTCGCGGTTCTGCTGATCCTGGTGCTGGGAGGCATATTACCCTTTTACTATATAGGATAGAGGCCTGGTGCACGGGTGGGTGCTGTCTGATTTGCCCTGAAGGGTGTCCCAGATCAGGGTGGGGGTTCCCACTTGGGTGCCTGGCCAGCCTGGGTGAGGGGCTGATGGCTGTTTGCTGCTGGTCACACACCTTTCAGGGTGGGGGTCCCCACTGGGGTGCCTGGCCAGTCTGGGTGAGGGGCTGAGGGCTGTTTTCAGGCTGGCGGGTGACTGAAGCTCCCAACCACTCCTTTTTTTCTTTTTTTTTTATTCTGAGGCAGCCTTAGCTCTGAGGCTTGGTTCCAGCTCTTAGGCCTCCGCTGCTGAAAGCAGGTTTCTGGCCTTTGTTTACCTTCTGTATTTGAAACAATGTTGCGATCCTGCTGGCTGAAGCCTGCTGACTAAAGCAGGTTTCTTGGGTTTTGTTTAGCTTCTATATTTGTAACATAGTTGCTTAGAGTTGCAGCTCAGAGGCTGGCAGCAGCAGGCAGGGAACGTTGGAGTCCTCCGTCACTAAATCAAGCAAACCTCATGTTCACTTTAAGCTGCCTGGCTGCCGGCCGCCATCTTGGCTGGCAGTTAATTTGCATATTGCCCTGATTAGCCAATGGGAAGGGTAGCGGTCGTACGCTAATTACCATGTTTCTCTTTTATTAGATAGGATTAGGGTACTCGTAAGCTGGCCTTTGCTAAAAACATCCTCAATCTGATTGAGGTACATTCACTGAGGTTGACCCCTTCCAACTCTCCCATCCACACTCCTCTTGTATACTTGTTTCATCTACCTCCTTTCGTTCATCCTCTCTTTATGTCCAAACTATCTCAACATACCTTTCTCAATCCTCGACACTACATCTTCTTTCACTCCACAACGTTCCCTAAAATTAACTTAATAAACTTTACTTAAAGTTTTAAGTCAACTTCACACTGTACGTGCACCCCCGCATGTGGTATTTTGTGGAAGAACCACACTCAAGGGGCCAAAGAGCCGCATGTGGCTCGTGAGCCACGGTTTGCCGACCACTGTGTTAGGTTCTTAACAATGCCTAGGTCCTGACAATTTCATTCTTGTGCAAACATCATAGACTCCATTCACACAAACCTAGATGGGATAGCCTACCACACACCTCGGCTATATGGTATATGCTGCTGTCTCTAGGCTACAATTCTGTACACCACATTACTGTACAGAAAACATGAGATTAAACCAAGCACTAGAGAAAATGATGCAATCAAGAGATGCAGTAAACCTGAGACGTATGACGCTGTTGCTGGTATAACATGGCATACTGTTATAGCAGACTTCTTTTTCTTATAAGGAGAAAAAGCACACTCTAAAATAACAATCACTAGTATAATAAATACAGGAACCAGTAACATTTATTATTATGTACTGTACATATTGTGTTGCTATACTTTTACAGAAATGGCAACACAGTTTGTGTAAAACACATGAGTAATGCATTGTGCTAGGATGGTATGTTGGCTCTGGTGTCACTAGGCAATAGGAAATTTTCAGCTCCATTATAGTCTTACTAGTGGCCTGGTGCAACAAAATTTGTGCACGGGGTGGTCGGGGTGTATGTCCTTCAGCCCAGCCTGCACCCACTCGCAATCTGGTAACACTGGCTCCTAACCGCTCACCTGCCTGCCTGATTGCCCCTAACCACTCTGCCTGCCAGCCTGCTCACCCCCAACTGCCCCTCACCCCCCGCTGGCCTGATTGCCCCCAACTGCTCCCCCCCCCCCCGCTGTCCTGCTCATTCCCAACTGCCCCCCCCCACCTGATCACCCCCAACTGCCCTCCCCTCCTGTCCTGATTGCCCCTAACCACCTCTGCCTCAGCCTCGCCACCATGGCTTTGTCCGGAAGGTCTCTTGGTCTAATTAGCATATTACCCTTTTATTAGTATAGATGGGACCACCCTCATATATGTGGTTCGTGGTTGGCTGGAAAGTGGTTATGCTGCATATGACTGTCCTGAACTGGTTGTTGGCTCATCATCTTACACCTCGGACCTTTCTCCCCACCCGTATGAAATACTCTAGGCCCTTTCTCCATCCCTTTCCTTCTTGTTGGCTTTTAAATGGATTTTCCTCTGTTTTTCTCCTCTCCAGATCCCTTTGAGATCCAGGGCACAGCAGGCTGCGAGCTGCGAGCCGGGGAGGCCACAGTCAGCTTCCTGCGGGGAGCGCTAGGGGGAATGGACTTCATGAGCCTCCAGAATGGGACGTGTGTGCCTGCTGCGGAGGCCGGCAGCCGCGCCCAGTGGTTCTGCACACTTTACACGCAGTACCAGGGCATCTCTGACATCATCGGGAATCTCCTCTATCACACCTGCCCCCGGTATCTCTGGAGCGTCCTGGAAGCAGGGAAGGCAGAGCTGCAACGGCAAGGTTAGTTCTCTCTCTCCAGGTTCCCTGTTGCATGTCCCACCACCACTCTACCTGCCAGTAGGAGGTAGGAGACAGGGGCTTACTCAGTAAATTATTTGGTTTCCTGAAGAGCAGAAGGGGTTGCTCTCCAAACTGGTGGGTTTCGGAGTCCCTAGGTTCTAGATGAGAGTCATAATCTGACACTGTCCCTGCTCCTTCCTGCCCCAGTGAAGCCCGAGGCCTGGCTGTCCAGTGGCCCCCCTCCTGGCCCTGGCCGTCTGCTGCTGGTGTGCCACGTCTCAGGATTCTACCCCAAACCTGTGTGGGTGAGGTGGATGCGGGGGCAGCAGGAGCAGCCGGGCGCTCAGCAAGGGGACGTCCTGCCCAATGCTGACGGGACGTGGTATCTCCGAGTGACACTGGACGTGGCGGCTGGGGAGGCAGCTGGCCTGACCTGCCGAGTGAGACACAGCAGCCTTGGAGGCCAGGACATCCTCCTCTACTGGGGTGAGAACTAGGGCCCCGCGGGGAGGGGATGGTCCTCAAACACAGAGAGAAAGGCTGGCAAAGTGGTGAGATTTAATGAGTGAGAGAGAGAGAGCGCGAGAGGGTTGGGGGGGGGGTGCGGGGGAGGGAGGAAAACAGAGAGAGAGAGAGGCCTGTGGCAGTGGTTTTCAACCGGTGTGCCATGGCAATTTGTAAAACATGCAACACCTGACCATATAGTCAGGGGCTGTGACTTCTTTTCCCAGACTGTTAGAAAGAAAATGACCACAGCTACCCTGGCTGGCATAGTTCAGAGGTTAGAGTGTCTGCCCATGCCCTGAAGGGTCACAGGTTTGATTCCTGGTCAAGGGCATATACCCGGGTTGCAGGTTCATCCCACGCCCCTTCTCTTCCTCCCACTCCCCAGTTGGGGCAGGTGCAAGAGGCAACCGATCCATGTGTCTCTCTCACATCATTGTTTCTCTCTCCTCCTCCCTCCCTTCCACTCTCTTTAAAAATCAATGGAAAAAATATCCTCAGGTGAGGATTAATTTAAAAAAAAATGACAATAGCCAACACAACAATAGATGTCTAGTGTGAATGAATGAAAATTATACCGATTTGGGGGGGGGGGTCAGATTGGCAAAAATATATATTTTGGGGGGTGCTGTATAATTTTAGTCATTAGTTTCTGTGTGCCATGAGATGAAAAAGATAGATAGAAAATTGTTGACCCAGGGTGTAAAATAGGTAAGAATGATAGACCTATATAGTATTGGGTACAGTGGGGCAAGAAGATGAGATGGAAGATAGATATGGGCACATTTTGTCAGAAAATATGAGAGAGGGAGTTGTACATGTCCACATATCAGAAGCAGGGGAATGTCGGTGACCCTCAGGCAGCAAAGGGAGGGCCGGCGAATCGGAGGATGGGTTTGGAAGTGACATCTTTGTATATCTCCCGTTGCCAGGAAATTCTACCTCCCTCACTGTGATACTGTTGGCAGTGATACTGCCCACCTTGATTCTTTTGATATGTCTTGCTTTATGGTTTTGGAGGCGCTGGTAAGTTTTAAAAAATCTTTCTTTTCTGTTACCCTCCCACTCTTTCATATTACGTTAGCCTCAATCTTTCCACAAGACTTTTTGCCCTTTCTCCCAAATTCCCATCTTTTGTAATGTAAATCTATTTTTTTTAATTGTGGTAAAATATACATGACACAAAACTTATTATCTTAGTTACTTTTAAATGCATAGTTTGGTAATAGTAATTACACAACCAATCTCTAGAACTCTTTTTCATCTAGAAAAACTAAAACTCTACATTCTCTGAACAACATCTTGGTATCTCCTGGCCCTTTAGGCCCAGACACCCAACATTTTACTTCTTTTCTAAATCAATTTGACTACTTTAGACACCTCATATAAGTGGAATCATGAATATTGGTCTTTTTATGACTGGATTATTTCATTTAGCCTAATGTACTCATGATTCATCCAGGTTGTAGCATGTGTCAGAATTTCTTTCCTTTTTAGGGAAGGCTGAATAATATTCCACTGCATTTATATAACATATTTGTTTACCCATTTAATGGACACTTGGGTTGATCCTACCTCTTGGCTATTGCGCATAATGCTACTATGAAATAGGTGTGCAAATATCTCATATGTAGAGCTAAAATCTCTTGTGTTCTTAACAGGTCATATCAGAATATCCCATGAGATGTTATCATGTCTCCTTGTACCATTTGGAATAAGGACTCAGACGACAAGAAGCTCAAGTTGTCAGCCCAGCAGTCAACCTCATCATCTTTAATCAAAGAATTATCATATTTGCCGAAACCGGTTTGGCTCAGTGGATAGAGCGTCGGCCTGCGGACTGAAAGGTCCCAGGTTCGATTCGGGTCAAGGGCATGTACCTGGGTTGCGGGCATATCCCCAGTAGGAGATGTGCAGGAGGCAGCCGATCGATGTTTCTCTCTCATCGATGTTTCTGACTCTCTATCTCTCTCCCTTCCTCTCTGTGAAAAATCAATAAAATATATTTTTAAAAAAAGAATTATCATATTTGATCAACTCAGAGTTCCCATAGGTTGTGAGATACATCATAATTTATACACTAACAGAAAAATCATTAAGAACTCTGCATTTATTATATGATAGTATCAATAGTAGGCTCCATCCAGGTTTAATAAATGTGAGATGTGAGAAAGGATGTATCCTGGAATAAATAAAATAAAGTACAGACGGTCCTCGACTTACATTTTGTTTTTGTTTTTTACTTTCTAGTGGAGAAAGCAATACACATTTAGTAGAAATAGTACTTGAATTTTGCTTTTTTTTCCCCTGAGCTAGTAATATGCATATGATATTCTCTTGTGACCTGGGGCAGTGGCAGTGAGCCTAGCTCCCAGGCAGCCACCAGAGCAGGAGGATAAACAACCAATACTCCACAATGTGTTTATAAGACGATTGTGCCCAAGGGTAGGCGTATGTATGTGTTTTGAGCATGTTTAAGGTAGGCTAGGCTAAGTTATGATATTCAGTAGGTTATTTGTATTAAATCTCCTTTTGTTATTTTTAGTTGATATTCTAGATTTTCCTCTTATTAAGATCATGTTCTCCTTGTTTCTGCCCCTGAACCCCTCTGGAAAAAACCACGCGTGCCCACACTATCACTAGAGTTTACCCACTGAGATTCATCAGAATAGGACCCTGCTCCTCATTTTTCAGTGAGGACGAATGAGAGGTAGGAGGTGTGAGGGATGATGGTGCAAGAGGCTGTTAAATGGCCAGGTAACAATCAAGAGGGCTTTTCTTGCCTTCAGGGACTTTGAGATCTGTGGGATATCAATTCAATTTGACCTTTGATTTACATTTACATTTATTCCTTTTTTTGCTCATTACATAGTTTTCTCGAAACACCCTTAAAAACAATCCAAATTCATTTGAATAAAACAGCAGCAGGAGGGAAGTGGAGAGAACTTGAGTATCTTTTTTATAGAGCTTAAGTAGGAAGCTTAAAAAGGAAGTCAGAGCAAGCAGAACTTGAGTAGTAGTTAGGGGACCCGGGAGCAGGTCCCCCACATGGAAACTTTAGGACAATATTGACTTCAGGATTTGCAAAGGGTAAAAAAAGGCTGAAAATAAAGTTTCCTCCTCTCTCAATTAGAATAGCCGGTTACTTCTCCAGAATGCATTAAACTCCACCCTATCTGATAGAGTAGGCATGTTGTTGTATGCTTGACTGCGCCCTCAGCTGCAATCTAGGAATTGATGTCTTTCTTGGAGTGTAGACTGTGAGTTACTACCATGCGGGGGTCCAGCCCCTGCAGTTCCCAAAGGTGTGGGCGGAGTCGGCGAAGAATGATTTACACGAGACAGCGTTCAGATGATCAGCATAGCTCTCTTTATTCTCCGTGGATCTTCCCTGTGCCTGGCTGAGGCCACAGAGAGAGATCCAGAGGCAAGCTAAGCCTTTATGTTATAGTCAGAGGTAAATAAGTTAGTGGTTACCATAGTTATACTGTTCTTGTGAGTTTCACTTGTTTTGGCAGCACTTCCTGCACTTCCCTCAGCCCATTAGCTTCCCAGATAAGATCTAGGGAACATTATAAGGTTAAGCCTAATTATCCTAAGAGGACTGTGGGTTTACCAGGGCTTTTCTTACTATGTAGGCCCTGGATTCCAACTTTTGTCTCGGTCTAATGATTCTGTGGATGGTTCTGCTCACCCTCTCTTCTCCTCAGGCACCATTTTTGGAATTAGCAGATGCCTGTAGGTGAAGAAAATGTGGTTCCAAATGCAGGCGTGGTTCCATCTCTCAGAACTTCTTACCTTTACTGGATTAAGGCACTCAAATTCCTTAGCATCTTGGCAGTTCTCAGATGTCCTCACACAAATGAAATTTTTCAAAATCTATTTTTACTAGTTGTTCACAGCCAGCCACTTTCCCCTTAAACAATCTAATCTATCAATGTTAGAATTAAAATTTAGTGTAATTTTAAAAAAACAATAAAATTGGTTAAGATCATTGAAAGGGCGAGGGATATGCCCTCCATCTTGCCCTGTACCCTCCATGTTGGGGCAGCCACCATGTGCTCAGGAGAGTACCTTCTTCCCGGAAGCCCAGGCCCCTGCTGGCCACGCCCGGTATTTCTTTAAACTAACCAATGACAATCAAGGGACGTGCGCGCCATAGAGATGACCACATCCTGTGTAAGAAGATCTGACTTGCGCCTGGCCGATCGGCAGGGCCCACAGTCAGCTCCCCTCCCCTCACTCCACCCCCTATTAAAACCCTGATTTTCCCACGGCGACTTCACTCTGCTTCCGGTAGCTGCGTCGGCCAGGAGGCGGAGCCGAGCTAGCTCAATAAAGGACCCTCTGCTTTTGCATCAGACTGGCCGGCTCCCTGGTGTGGTTTTCTTGGGGATCTTGAAATCTTGGCATAACAATCATGACCTTGCAAGTTTAAAATTTATTCAGTAATGAATGGTGGAAACATTAACCTGTGACTTTAGTGCATTTAGGCATCAGTACAAGGGAGACATTTATTTTCTTAAGTCACAGAGATCATATGTGATGATAGTGCTGATGATAATGGTGGTGGTGGTTGTGGTTGTAATGATTCTAGTACTAGGAGATAATAATTTTTTAATGTTTCTTGTGTGTGTGTGTGTGTGTGTGTGTGTGTGTGTGTGTTTTCATACTCCTCATTCAGTTCTCATAATAACCCCATGAGAAAAGTGGTATAATTATTCTCATTTCACAGATGTGGATGATAGACAGAATCATAAAATTTATTCAAGTTATATCTACAAAGAGCCAGATAGCCTAATCATTCTCTTGTTTTATTTAATATTTTTCAGTGCCTTCTAAGGAAAAGAACTTAGAATATTTTTATACAGTATTAGGACAGGGGAAGAGATGGCTTTAGAGCTTGAAGCTGTGACTCAACGTGGAGAACTGATTTATAAAGAAAAGCTAGGGAAATGAATAAGCAGAGACACAAGTAGTCACCAACACGGGTAGGAGAAGAGGTGATAGCAGATCTTTGAAATCTTAGTAAAACCCAGAATGTAAGATAGGTATATCTAAGTTTACACAAATATAAGAAATGGTGAATAAATTAACAAGTGTGGGAAAAAAGGACCCACTTTCCCTACATAAGAATTGCAACTAATCTATGTAGATGCTCTCCTTCCAGGAGGTGAAACTTGACTCACTCCCTTTGAGTTGGGATGGACTTAGTGTCTCACTTCCACTGAAGAGTGTGGAGAGGTAAAATAGTAACTTTACTGTTTTTAAAAAAAATCAACTGGCAGACACAACCTTAACCAAAAGATCAAGGATAAAATTGGCATTCATAAGTCATTTCCCTATCATGTGCCCCAGCTATGACATGAGAGATGCCATGACACAATGAGAAGGGCATGTCACCTCTGTGGTATTTCCCCCCTCAAACCCACAACCTCAAACTCATCATGACAAATGCATCAGACAAACCCAAAGTGAGAAAAATTCTATGTAATATCTGACCAGTACTCTTTGAAATGATCAAGGTCATGAAAGCAAGAACAGGCTGAGAAGCTATTCAGATCAGAAAAGACTAATACATAATGATAAATAAATGCAATGTAATAACCTGAATTGAAACTTTGAACAAGAAATAAAAATTAGTGAAAAACTTGGTGAAATCTGGAAAAAATATGTACTTTAGTTAATGATCATGCACCAATGTTCATTTCTTAATTTTGGCAAATTTGCCACAGTTACGTAAAATGTTAACTTTAGGGAAAACCAGGTAAAGGCATATGGAAACTCTATACTTATCATCAAACCTTTTCATTAAATCTAAAATTATTTTAAAATAAAGTCTTTAAATAAATAAAATCTTAAAATAAAATCTAAAAAAGGTCAGTGTTTTCTAAAGTATATAACCTGATAAGATCATCCACACACGTGTGAGTCTCGTAAAACAGTACTTACTCTGAGGGCATGCACTCTATAATATAAACTAAGAATAACTGAAAAAATTTGGAGTATGAACTTTTGGAATAAAAATTTAATTAGAAATAGGTGGAAACATGTTGACTTAATTGAAATGAAAAATATAAAGCCTGAAATTTAGTATTAAATCTATTATTCAAATATTTTGCCATTGGAAAACTTCATAAATCCACTGAAGTTTTTGTAATTGAAAACCTTCATAAGGCAGGAAATGGCAACTATTCTGACTGGAGATCATCAGAAAAGTGACATTTGGGTTAATAAAATCAGCCTTATGCAATGGCCACTCCATCTTCTGTTGTACTTTCCTAATAGTGCAGGGAATAAAGAAACAATAATCTTTAGCCATCTACACTAATAAAAGAGAAACATGCAAATTGATTGTACCTCTGCTACACCCACAAGCAACACCCACCAACCAATCAGGAGCAAGTATGCAAATTAACCCAACTAAGATGGCAGCGGCCATGGAGCTGGAGTGAGCAGGAGGCTTGGGTTGCCCCCGGCGATGGAGGAAGCCAAGCTTCCTGCCTGCCCTGGCTGGCCCTAAGCTCCACTCAAGGCTACAAAGTTTCAATTATAGAAGATAAATAAATCCCAGATACCTGCTTCCAGCCCACGGGCATGGCCAGCCTGAAAACGGCCATCAGACCCTCACTCAGGCTGGCCAGACACCCCAGCAGGGATTCCTACCTTGAAGGGGGTGTGGCCAGCCTGAAAACAGCCCTCAGCCCCTCACCTAGGCTGGCCAGGCACCCCAAGGGGACCCCCACCCTGAAAGGTCTGTGGCCAGCCTTCAAACAGCCATCAGCCCCTCACTCAGGCTGGACAGGCACCCCAG